AGCTGTGAGGGCATTATAATGTTACTGTCAATCCCAATATCCGTTGGTAAAACAGTAGCTCATAACTAGCTGCCTTCTTTCTAGTCTTTCACTGCTAAATAAGAGTAAGGGCTAGCGCAGATTGCCCTCATGTAGCTTTGCGCGAAATTCAAACCAAACCCTTCCAACAGAAATATTGAAAATGCCACAGAAAGTGTATCAGCTGGCGAGTGTATTTCTTATGGCATCTCTCTTTCAGGTGATCATGTTATTCCTTTGTGGTTGCCAGAATGTGGCGAGTGTCCCACGTGTCGACGACCTGACAGCAACATATGCTCTCAGCTCAGGTAGACGAGCTATTCCTTCCTTATCTGTTTGTTTTTTACCCTTGTGTAAGTAAAATGGAATCTAAATATAAACCATTTCTTATGCACTCAACTAACTGTGAGTGCCTCCTATGTGATGAAGTTGTCTCGCGACAAATTTTATGCACACAAAGCTTAGATTTCTTTATCAAAGGCGTAAAGGCGATTTCTTAGCTCTGCACAGTTCTGACGAGATAATCACATAAAAATACAGCATTTTACTGTATATATACGCGCTAGCAAAATTATAACAAACAATGTAAAATTATACATTTGTATAAATGGTACGATTTTACAGTGTTGTTACAATTTTGTTGGCGCGATTATGTATTTGTTGGGGCGTATATTTGTAATAAAAATGTTTTATTTTTACATATAAAATGTATTAGAGAGAGAGTTTATCACTAAGTAAACAGACACCCCTGAGATACAAATCGGCCATGTTTATGACATCGTTTGCAAAGTAACTCCGACGTATAAATATAGGTATAGCTCAGTAAAAGCTACTGAATACAATCAGTCACAAACGAAAGGATCCCAAGAATTAACAGTATTATGACGATCTCATTGTTGAAAGATCTGCTAGAAATTACAATGTCACTTCTAGTACTGCTGTCCACGGTGAATGGAGTGGCACAGTAGGTCGGAGATATCGGAAAATAATAGCTTCTGCACGAATTGGGCTCTCAGAACCATTATAAAATACTTCTTGGGCTGTGAGGAGAAGTGTGGAGAATGGCCCACGTCAAACAGCTGCTTATTCTACAACACAGGTGCAAGTGGAACTCTATACTCTCAGAAGTTATCTGTAAAACATGGGCTACAATAGTAAACTAGCCAGACGGAAGCCATCCTTACACCAGGCGACATTGTATATCGACAACAGTGGCAGTCACAGGCACTTTTTTCACCCTCCTGTATTTTCGGACATTAATCTTTTCTTTCCAACGAGTCCAGATTTTTAACATTTCTCAAAGAGTGGATCACCTGTGTTTGCATTTCTCAGGCTGTGGACCAGTTGAGTTTGGCTATTATCACTCGAGCATCATCTTTCGTTGAACCGTCTGTAAACCGTGACAAAATACGGTCGTATTTCTGTTATGGAGTGGGGTGCCATCTGGACAGCTAGAGCTCGAAACGTCATAGTTCTCGAGAAAATAGTTCCTTCTGTTTATTTTAATAACCATCTTACCAGACAAGGCAGTGTTTTCATGTAAGATGGGTGTTCCTACTCATTCAGTCCCAAAATGGTGACCTCAAGGTCAGGTTTTTATCATTCCCACGTAATCGTCTGATATAAAATCTATAGAGCATGTGTGGTCTGTCCTTGCTGTGAAAGCATTCCTCACGAAAAAAATACTAGGAACCCTTTCATCCAAGTTCTTCTCCAGGAGTGGATGTGCAGTCTCACAGGCCCAGGTTTCAGATTTTGTAAATACAGTGTAAAACTGTGTCTCTATCCTAAGTCAGGTCCCACTACACTTAAAATAATGCTATAATTTTTGTTTCGTTTTCGTTCGATTGATAAATCGGTATATTTTCTGGAATGGGTGTCTGTTTACTTATTGGTAGACTCTGTGTATGTGTGTGTGTGTATATAATGTATGTGTTAAATGGCGAACCCTTGATTCTGGTTCTTTTTATTGGAAAGCAGGAATGTTATCCACTATCTCGTCTGTACATCGAAACTAATGAATAGATTAAACGATCGCTAAGGTTTTTTTTTTTTTTAAGAGTTACTGTTTGAGTAATCATTTGGATGTTGCAAGAGCAATATCGAAGTATAGCATAATTAACATTACATTTTGATCCATGATAAAACAAGTGATCTAGAAAAATCGGAACTAAAAGCCAACCCAACAGTAAATAGTAATAATATACGTTCTTACTTGTAATGATTATAATGCATTGTTTCATAATCGGGCAGCTTAGGGTGGTTATAAATCTATAAACTAAACTAAAAATATATTAAAATATATACATCGGACATTTTAACCAACTGTTTATAAAACTAACAATAAAATAATAATAGTTGCATAACGTACTTGCAGAATACACAAATAAGTGTATTGTTTTATGCATTGTTGTATAGTTCTAAGTATAAGTGTTTGTGATTTCCGTAATATCGAGTACAAAATGCATCTTATGTGATTTTTATTCGTGTTTCTCGTCCCATAATTCTATGGCCCAGCATGGACAGGTAGTTAGGGCGCTCGACTCGCGCTCTGAGGGTCGCGGGTTCGAATCCCCGTCCCACGAAAAATTCTCGCCCTTTCAGCTGTGGGGGCGTTGTAATGTGACGGTCAATCCCACTATTCGTGTGTAAAAGAGTAGTATAAGAGTTGGCGGTGATGACTAGCTGCCTTTCCTGTAGTCTTGCATTGCTAAATTAGGGACGGCTAGCGCAGATAACCCTCGTGCTGCTTTGCGCGAAATTCAAACCATAATTCTAATAGTTTTTCTATTTTGTGATGTTACTTTCTTTTCCGGTCTAAATCAGTATTACATAGTTTTTCTACTACCTATTTATTCATAACTACAGGTTGAATAAAGACTTATTATGTGAGTGATAATTCTCGGTGACTGCAGCTTTTCCAAAACATTTAGTACTGTATTAGGGACCCTCTGTTTGATATTACTACTGAATTTTCAAAAGAATAAGATGATGTACATAATATATAAAGATAAGCTTGTGTCTATTTGTTTGCACATTTCAGTCCCTATAATAGTAGGCTTATATAGATGCGGAATCATTTTTAGTGTCAATGAAAAACTTCATAATTAAATTTTTCCGCAGAAGACGGACCAGATTTTTAGTCTGATTTAAGTAGAAATGACGTCAGAAAATTTTATGTATTTTATAGAGAGGTGTGCTGCCGTTGTGGTTTCAGAATAAAAATCCATTTAACGTTGTCGTGTCTACTGACAACCAAGACTAACTTTTTATAGAATAGACAAATTGAGCCCTTTAAATTCTGCAAAAAATAATTATTTTTTTTTATTAACTCAATTTTGGGAGGAGAGAGAGGGTAGTTAGATATGATAAACATTCCTGATGCTGATTATGTACCTCAGAGTAAAATGTCTAGAAAAAGGGGAAAAAAACAATTCACTAGCAGCAAAATGTATGCAACAAAAGCGGCAGAGTGAGACTCCACAAGAAAGTGAAATACGCCTTGATAGCCAACGAAAAAAACAAGCTGCTTATGGTGAAACCGAGTCTGAGCTAGAGCGGCAATTTCGCATAGACAGTGACGTCATCCGCCATGCAAAGCGCTGTTCGCAAGAAACATCAAGAATACGAGAGCTTCGTTTGATCCTTCCTGTTTAAACATACATAACATCGGCCCTCTGTTCAGGTAATACCCGGGCAACTCCCGGTAAGGACGGCTAGTTAGATATAAAATTGGCAATGATTTGATCGTGTTCCGTTTGGTTAACTTAGACCAACTTCTTGAGTGAAATAATGAAAGTTAATACCCGGGCAACTCCCAGTAAGGACGGCTAGTTGGATATAAAATCGGTAATGATTTGATCGTGTTCCGTTTGGTTCTTGAGTGAAATATTAAAAGTAGAAAGACAACTTTAAAGATAATAACATTAAATTTATTTAGTAGCAAAAAATGGAAAAACGAATACAAGTGATAGTTGCTAAAGAACTAAATAATCCTGAAACCTAATGACAAAAGTAGGTGGAACTTGTAGTAATGGAAACCCCTTTAACTGAAAAAAAATCCAACTGTTATTTTATAGTGTCTTTCTTTGAAAACTAAAGAAAAACAAAATATTATGTATTAACTTAGAGTAGTACATTTCTCAGGTATATACGTAAATAAAGTGGAATTTCTAACATATATCCAACAATGATGACATGCTTCCTAAGAAAGACAAGACTGATAAGGCAACATTTGAAATATATCCAACAGTGATGACATGCTTCCTAACAAAGACAAGACTCCTAAGGCAACATTTGAAATATCTCCAACAGTGATGACATGCTTCCTAACAAAGACAAGACTGATAAGGCAACATTTGAAATATATCCAACAGTGATGACATGCTTCCTAACAAAGACAAGACTGATAAGGCAACATTTGAAATATATCCAACAGTGATGACATGCTTCCTAACAAAGACAAGACTGATAAGGCAACATTTGAAATATATCCAACAGTGATGACATGCTTCCTAAGAAAGACAAGACTGATAAGGCAACATTTGAAATATATCCAACAGTGATGACATGCTTCCTAAGAAAGACAAGACTGATAAGGCAACATTTGAAATATATCCAACAGTGATGACATGCTTCCTAAGAAAGACAAGACTGATAAGGCAACATTTGAAATATATCCAACAGT